AGTGGCCTTGCATGTGCAAGGGCCCGAGTTTCATCCCCAGCCCTGACACAATGAAGCTACCGGTGCACCCAAATACTGCCTAAACTCAGCACCAGGCTCTGTGGACGAGACGCGCACAGAACACAAATGAAGATCACATTGAGACTTGGCCTCGACCCCAAGATGGCTCGTTATGCATAATCGGATATTCCAAAATCCATCAAAACCCCAAACCTGGAGCCCTGCTGGCCCTCGGCACTTCGGATAAGGGACGCTAAGCCGTGCTGCTTGGACTCCTTGTGAAGGCAGCGAGAAGGACCAAGGGGCAGCACTCTGGGTTTGGTTTGTCATTGTGAGGATCTAAGTGGTCCCTGGCATCATGAAAAGGGGACCTGACAGCAATTGGGAGTCCCTCTGGGCCGCCTCGGCCCTGTGCTGCTGGCCCGGCTCATTCTTGGACAGTCCCCTCTAGACAGAGGAAGAATCCTCGTCCCTTGTCCCTCCTCCTTGAATACGGGCCACCTGAGTGAGCCATCCTCCATTAACAGAATGTACCTGGAGTGACACAAAGTGGCTTTGGAAGTGAGGCCAGCAAAGGACATTCGGCTTCCGCCATCATGGAAGAAGTCTGCGCACCCTGGGTCCACGTGCTGGAGAAGCCACGTGCACCGGCTCTAGTGACCAGCCAGCTGAGGTTCCCACAGAGGGCCAGCAGGGAATGTGAGCCCCAACAGGAGACCACATGGGCTGGCCTTGGCCTTGTCCCCCCTCCAGCTCTGTGTCCACCAACGCCCAGCCCGCGAGCCCTGCCCAGCTAATCCACAGCCCTGGTCTCCTGGGGCTGCTGGCCCCTCACACGGCCGTGCTCAGCACATATGTAAGGGGCACCATGGGGCCCACAGACTGCCACTTTATGGTACCTGGGCAGCATCAGCCTGAACCTCTGTCCCTTTAGTAGGCTGCAGATGCACTGGAGGAAGCTGGGGGACCCCGAGGCCCTGCTTTGTCTGGCCTTGATCTGGCGTCACACATGGAGAGCAGGACAGGATAGGCTTGAGGCCAGGGCCTCGCAGCTGGCTTGCTGGGTCACTCAATGATCTGGATAAGAGTCCCTCAAAGGCCCATATTATTAAAGGCTTGGTCCCCAGCCTGAGGCCCTATTAAGAGGAGGTGGGACCTTTAAAAGGAGGGGCCTAACAGGCAGAAGTTTGGTCACTGGAAGAGTGTCCTTGAAGGGAACAAGGGCCCCCAGCCCTTTCTTCTCTCTGGGCTTCCCAAGGACCATGAGGTGAGCGGCCCTACCTTCTACAGGCCCCGAGCACAGGTGCTGATGGATCATGGGCTGAAATCTCTAAAATCATGAGCCAAAGTAAACTTTCTTCTTTTTAAGAGAGAATACCTCAGGTATTTGCTTACAGTTACCAGAAGCCAGGCTGCTCTATCACAGTCTCCCCAGCTGGTTTCCTGAGGTCTCTGGAATCTGGGCCCTACCCGAGGTCCCTAGACTCTTCTAGACCCCTGCCCATGCCTCCATGCCGCAGCCCCCTCTCAAAGCCTGGTCTCCCCATGAGGCTGGGCCTCCCCAGAGGCCTCCCATGGCCTCAACCCCGCCTCTTGGACTCCTCAGACTGACTCATCCTAAGCAGCACATCTATGAAATCACAATGCCACGTGCCCRAGCTCTGAGCACCATCTACCATCTCTTCTGTCGCCCATCTGGGGGCTGCAATCTGGGAAACACTGGTTTTCGGGCCCAGAGGAGCCTTTCTGAAGAACCCTGGTGTGTATTTCATCATCGGTAGCTGGAGACAGGACGTTCAAATGGTTTTATTTTCTTCTCTGCGCCCATCTACGGCCCTCCCGTTTTTTATAATAAGCGGGGATCGGGCCTCTGTAACCAGAAACCATAAATGAATGTTGGAAAATAACTAAGACATCATCTGCGTTTTCCAAACACAGAGAGTTGGGTGAGGAGAGAGTGTGGGGCGGGTGCCCAGAGGCTGGCGAGCGAGGCCAAGAGCGAGTTCTGTGGAATAAGTGCGCYCAGCCTCCCAGACCCCACCTCTCGCTCCGGCTTCCAATTGTTGGAAGAGAGGGAACTTCATCCCTCCTGCTTTTCTGCCTGAGCCAGCTGTCACCGGGTGTGTGGGGGACGGGAAACAGGATTACAAGATTAACAGTGCGCCTGCGGAGCCTGCCTGGCTGTTATCAGGGCTGACTCCGGAGGAGAGCCACAGTGCCCACTTGTCACTACCTACGGCAACCTGGGGGTTGGGACTCGCACCCAAAATAAATCCCGAACAAGGACAAAACCGACTGGGAGCTTCCCCCACCATCAGGTCGGTTTTCCTGAGTGTGTCCATCGCGCTTTCTAGAGACTTTCCCACGAGGGTCCCGTGAGAACCCTGGGAAGTGGAAGCTCCATCTATTCAGGCCCATTTCACAGACGAGGGCTCTGGGGCTCTGCCAGGTGACATCACTTGCCCGGCTTCACCTGCTGATAATCACGGCCAGGTTGGACCCATGTCCGGCAGACATTGAAGGGTTCCAATGGAGTCAATCTGCTTCCCTCCCTCGCCTGCCCCAAGAATGTCACCAAAGAACTGAGCAGGAGATGACCTTATGGACTGGTCAGGAGTCAGCACAGCCCTTGGGTTCTGCCACGCTGCTCCTAACAAGGCCACAGAGACACATGGGGCTCTTGGAGAGACTAAATCCAACATGTCACCCATTCCCTCTGGTCCATGTGCATAGTCCCCACCTGGGGAGAAGGCCTGGTCCATCTGGGGAGTGGCCAGGACAGCCAAGCAGACCAACCTAGAGTCCCTGCCTGAATAGCCAAACAGCTGTGGTTCAAAGCCTGCTGCTCCGGATCTCGAACACTGCACCTGGCTCCCCTTTGGTGTCTGATATCTGTCCCAGCACCTTCCAAACTGCAGGGACCCAATCTGACACAGGGAAGCCACGCGGAGTCGGGAAGAGACACACGCGCCAGGCCGGGTGCAGCTCAGGGGTGCGGCGCTTGCCTGGAGTGCACGAGGCCTGGGTTCCGTCCCCGGCCCCGCAGGAAAAAAGAAAAAAATGCTGCCCACACCATCTGCGGCCATAGGAGATTTCCCAGAGAAAGGAAGAGCCACGGGAGACCCAGGGAGAGTTGGGAGGTGGCCAGTGGGAGAGGTCAGAGAGACCTGGAGGCTAAACAGAAAGAAGACTTCAGGGTGGGAGCATGCCGTGCAGTGACCAAGACAGAGGGCAGGAGCCAAAGCCGGGGCCAGGCCTGGGGGGACGAGGGGGCACCCAGGAGAAGCCTGAGCCTTACACTGAGGGGCAGTAAGAGGTGGATGTCCCTTTGCGTGACTTGTGCTTTACAGAGATCCATCTGGTGGCTGCTTGGAGAAGCCCCCAGCGGGGACAGGACCACAGGCAGGTCCAAGGCAGCCAGGAGGGTGCTGGCTGGAATGAGCRGCCTGCCAGGAGAGAGGGAGGGAGGCCGAGACCCCATAAGAAGGTAGAATCGGGGCCCGGTGGAGTTTGGTGGCACGGTGTGAGCCTAGCATGCACGAGGCCCCGGGGTCCACCCCTTCCCCAGAAAGAAGGAGYATCCGCAGGACATGGTGACTAGTTCACCTGGAGAGGTGCCCGCGACACCTTCAACCTGCTACCCTGCTCTTGACCTCATGGGAAGGAGGGAAGTCCCCCCACCACAGCCAGCTTGGTCAGGGCGGTGGGGCAGGGCGGCCCCTACCTGTGCGGCCCGGACCTTCACACGTAGCCCTGGGAGGACCTGGGCAGGACAGAGCTGCTTCGTTGTCCCCTGAATTCTGAACACTGGAGGAGCAGTGTGACCCGTGGCGCTCCAAGGCACAGATAATTGGACCTCTCTCTGCTAAGATGGGATTCCTGTCCACACGGTTTCCACTGATCCTGGGACTAAATTAAACACCGATTTCAAAATGTAGATGACTCAGGAAGTTGGCTCTCGTAGCCACCACCAAAGGCACCTTAGGAGTCTACCGATGGGAAGGAAGCCAGTCAGGAAGACAGGGACGTACAGGCGTGTGCTGTCCCCGGACACAGCTGAAGGTAATGTCCTTGAGTTTTTAGAAGCCTGCACAATCGGATCTGGTAAGCCTGCTGCCTAAAAATAATTCCCCAGAAGGCAGTTTTAAATCCAAAGCTAAAGCCACCGGCTTCCTCATCTTTCTTCCCTCAGTCTCTGAAGGCATATGTCTGTCTCCCTGCCTGACTCTTCCTGTCACATCTTCCAAAAAAGAGAAGGAAAAAAATTCCCAAATGACTTCATTTTATTTTGAAACACTAAACCCACCAAAAGAGGGGAAGGAAGAAAAAAACCAAAAAAAAAAAAAAAAAAACCCTCTAGGTCAAAACAGCTCAAGATGTGATTTCTGATTCTCTTGCCATATGGCAAGTTCGTCTGGAAGCCTCTCCCGAGCACAGAGAACATTGACGACATCCACCATGCCTGTTCCGTCTTTTCAAATCAGACCCCATCCCCACTCTGTGCATTCGCTCCAGACTCTTCTATTTGTCATATCAGCGGCTGTGACCACAGGATATGTAAAAATACCAAGCAATTTTTAGCACCAGCTTCCAATCCCCCAGCGCCCTGGACACCACATGGTGTCAAATTTTGTACTTCACCCCCAGGAAATCAAGTCATTAACTTCTCTCTCATTTACCGCGAGCCCATGCCAAAGAGAAAAGCCTTCCTCGGCTGTGACTTATGGGAAGAAAAAGGGAAAGGGACTCGCTCGGGAGAGAGATTGCAGAGGGAAGTGATGCACAAAGCCCAGCTCCCCTGGTTCTTCTCCCGCGTGGGAGCATCACCCTCAGGTTGCTGATGGCCTCGGTCGCATGGGACACTTATCAGAAAGGGGAACGAGTCTTTCCTCCCCATCTCTGGGCACCTGGTGCTCATGGGCAGGGTGGCCATGGCACAGAGCTGAGTGGCCCCCCGGCTCCGCCAGGCACAGGTGGGGCACAGGGATCCGCTTTCCTACCTCTGCATCCTGGACATTCTGTGCAGCTCCATGTCGTCACTCCCCCGGAATCCTTTGGCGAAGGGATTGTTCTCGATCTTTAATTGCGTGATCTGAGGGAAGGAGGGAGAACCGGCCATTTTACACTTTATTGCCACAAGACTACCTCAGGGACCCGAGCTCCTAACAGTGCCATGGAAACATGGCCTCGGGCAACCCAAAGAAGCAAATTAAGCCAGTCACGTCACCGGGACCCACCACTTCATTGGAGTGGAGGCTTTTKAAACATGTCCTCAGACTGCTTTTTGGGGAGAGGGGGTGTTGGGCTGGATTCAGTTTGCACATTAATTGGAGTCACATTCTGCCATCCTTACAGCCAGAGTCATGAGTGTGAGTGTGTGTGTGAGTGCATGCGTGCGTGCATGTGTCTAGTCTGGGCACTTTGTATTTCCAGCACAGTGAAGGCCTCAACATTTGGTCCCCCTTCCCTGGCCCCTGAAGCCCCTGCCCTGGGAAGTCTTGCATGTTGGCACGGGGGGCGGGGGGGGGGGTTGTATATCCGACAGTGTGGCAATCCCCCGTTTGGAGAAAACTTGTCTTGATGGTGAGTTTCCAACAATCAAGTCATTTCATGGTTTCACAGACTTCACTGGCCCAGGTGGGAAACAGTGGCCAGTAAAATAAACACGGACACGAGTGCGGATCCCATCTATGACAGCGACCACACAGCTCTGGGCCGAGGTGGCTTCCCGAGCTCTGTCTGTCCTAGTGATCTTCAGGATAGGGAGCTGAGCAACAGAAAGAGGGTCTTTCTGAACGTCTTGGCCTGGAACTTTAATTTAAACCATCAACGCGTATTAGGGGAGTGTGAATGTTTAGTAGCCCATCCAGGTGACAGAGTGCATACATATGGCATTTGCTAGAAGTAGTTCCTAAAAGTTATGTGCGAATTGATTTTTCTTTCTTTTTCGATTTTGTTTTTCAGAGCTGGGAATCGAACCCAGGGCCTTGCACATGCTAGGTAAGYGCTAACCAAGAACTACACCCCAGCCCAGAATTCTCATAGACAGTCACAGTATAGGCACCAGGACATCAAGACTCTAGCTTCAGTCCTGGGGGGGGACCCCATCACGATCACTGTCATATCATAGATCACCTGTATACTGGTTTGCTTGATATTTATATTTAAATTGAACCCCTTTTTATTGAAATCTATTTTACCCAGAAATAGGATATCCTGGCGCACACCTGTTATCCCAGCGGCTCAGGAGGCTGAGGCAGGAGGATGGTGAGTTCAAAGCCAGCCTCGGCAACTTACCAAGGCACTAAGCAACTCAGTGAGACCCTGTCTCTGACAAACTAGAATCCCTTGCTATTCAATAAGGAGAAAGCCACTGTATCAAGATCTCTGTACCTGGACTCACAGAAAGTTCTACATCCAAACTCTGCCTTCCCCTGGTGGCAGGAAGAGATTAGGCGCTTCGGAAGACGTTTGGAACACCACACACCAACGTGTACTGAAGGAAGGGCTGTCTGTCTTCCTCCAAGAGAAGTCTAGAAAGATAACTGGGAAGGGAACTTTCTCCCCCTGACTTGGATCCTACTCGAGTGCCCCTGCAAAACGCCTCCCCTTACCCCAGCAGAACATGGACTTCAAGAAACTCTGGGCCAGGAATCATTAATGAATGCACACTTCTAAATTGATCCCCTGAGTTGTTCTGATACATCCTGCCTCTAGAAGAAACAGCCTACATAGTTCCCTTCTAGCTCCAAGACTCTATAATGAACCTGAAATCACTGTCTGAGGGCTGCGGGGTAGCTCAGTGGTAGAGCTTTGGTCCAGCATTGCAGAAGGCTCTGGGTTGCACCCCCAGCACTGCACTCAAACAACCAAACAAACCGACTCACTTACTTGCTCTATGTATGATACCTGAATGCATAACAACAAAAAAATCTCACATTTTTAATATCTGACTCCAATAATCTGACATCCAGAAAAAAAGAAAACTATGGTGAAAAAATTTCAAAAGGTCAGCAATTGCTAGGGGTTGAAGCAGGGGGATGACGAGGCAGAACKCGGAGAATTTTTAGGGCAGTAAAGATCCTCTGTGGAACCCGGCCATGGTGGGTACCTGTCACTATATGGTTTGTCCAGACCCATAGCACCCTATGACAGATAGGAACGCTGAGGTCACAGCAGGTTTGGGGTGATAATGATGTGTCAATGTGGGGTCCTCCACGTAACAGACGGACCACTCTTGTGGGGGTGTTGACTGTGGGGAAAGCCAAGCACATGGGGGGGGGGAGGGAGGTGCGTGGAAAATCTGTACTTTCTGGAACCACAAAGTGCTCTTTTACATCCATTTAAAAATATTTTGGAAGCCGGGAGTGCTGGCGCACACCTGTTATCCCAGCGGCTCAGGAGGTGGAGGCAGGAGGATCATGAGTTCAAAACCAGCATCGGCAAATTAGCAAGA